TTCAGCCATGCTGCCTCCATGGTGAGGGAAGACCTGGCATCATTGTCAGTGCTGGCTGGCATTCCTCGGGCAGCACCATGCCCTCTCAGGCTCGGATCCTTTGCCAGAGCCATCCTAGAGGGTTGCTATGAGTGGGGCAGCATCCTCCCTGGTAGATGCCTGCCTGCTTTCCACCCATCCCTGGCCAACATTTGGAAGTGTGTCCTCAGATCTGAGAAACCACCCCATGCAGGGGGACTTCCAATCCGGGTATTTTAACTGACCTGTCAGTTGCAAGTCCCTGGCATTCCCAGGACCTCAGTGTCTCAGTGCTGTGGAGAAGATGCTGATCCCTGTGGAAGAGGCAAGCAAATGTTCTGGGGAGCACTGAGACCCAAGAGGGGCACAGGGTGGCATTTTAGGGTCTTGCACCTATCCAAGTGTTCATGTCCCCTGGGAGAGAGTGGGAATGAGGGCTCCTGCCCATGCACAAGCCCTTTGCTTTCAACGTCACCCCTTTAAGATACCGCTTAATATGACAGATTAATTAGTTAATGTTTGTAATGTGCTTTGAACATGAAAAGTGCTGTAGAAGTGCTGAGTATTAATTATTATGGAATGGAGGCTGCCCCATTTGAGCAGTGTTCCCCATGCATTCCTCATGCCTAATTTCAGGCTGGTGTGGTTCCCCTGCCATTGCCCCATCTGTAAAAGCCAGAAGAAGGGGAAAAGCAGAAAGGAAAAAGTAAGACCATCTGCACTGTGTGAGGAAGGAGCGTCTCCTGGAACCATGTAAGGGGCTAAGCCAGGCACTCCCTGTGCTGCATCACACGGGAAGTGGAGCCTCATCTCCCCAGTGGCCCAAGGAGGATGGATGAAGATGCATGAGGGTTTCTGCAGCTCATCCCACGCATGCTTGGGTGGGAGCACCCAGCACTGACCCAGCACTGGTGGCAGCTTCAGAGCCAGGCAAGGGGATGAGAAGAGGGTGAGAAGGTTTTGGGGTCTGTGAGCTAGAGAGGGCAGGAAGATGGCTGCATCCTAGATGTGTGTATGTCACGGCCAGGAGCTCCCTGGTGTCCCACAGAGCCAGTGCCTGGCCTGCTTTGCTGCCTCTCCCCTCCTTGTGCCCTCCTTCTTGGAGAGGCTGCTCCTGGGAAGGGTCCCTGGAGGAGGATCAGAAATGGGGCAGCAGGTGCCCTCAATTACCTTGGTGGTGAAGCATCTGGCTGGCTGGCCCATGAAATGTGTGTGCTGACAAGCATGCTGGGGGGCATGGGGTATCTGTGTAGTGCTACCAGGGGCCCAAAGGAGAGGGATGAGCTGAAGGTTGTTGGGCTGGGGGTACCCAGTGATGCTGATCAGAGGATCTGCATGCTGAGCATCGGTATCAACCTGTGCGATGTGCATCAGGCGGTGGGTGGACTGTGGTGCTGTGATGGCACTGTGAACCATCAGTGTCTGCTGGGACGTTTTGGAGCCGAGTGTATCTTCATGCCGCTGCCCCCCCTGTCACCACTGAATTAAACCCCTCATCCTACCTGCTCATCCAGCCCACCGTGGGTCAGACCCTGGCTGCACTTCGGAGAGGCTTTGTCCCTCTGATGGCTTTCCATCCTCATCACCCCTTTGAGCTGCCGATGATGGGGTCTGATGGGAATCCTGGTCCACTCCAGAAAGCCATGGAGGATCCCACAGTAAGCAGGAGCCCAGTGGAGGTGAGGGCATCTCAGCACGTTGGTGGCACCCCTGCTGCCAGCGGTGGGGTGGGAGGTGAGGGGACATACCTCACCCATTTCTGGGTGTAAGAAACCCCCAACTCAGGACTCTAATGCTGAGCATTTCCACCAGGCAGCCCTGCCAACCCAGCTACTGAGGAAATCGCCCAAATCCTGTGAGTGGTTGAACAAAACCCCAAAACAACATTAGTCCCACTTTCTTTTCTCTTTCCTTTTTGACCCCTCCAGCCTGTGTGAATGCTGAGCTGGTAAGTGGTTCTTGGCTTGGTGATGTGAGAACTGCTCTCTTTGGGTAGGAGTTTGGGTAGTATCCTTTGTGGTAACACCATCCTGGGAGGAATGGGACAGGAGCAGCAATGCTGGGGGCAAAACAGGGGCTGGAGCAGATATTTGGAGAGCAGCAGGAAAAGCCCATGTGTGTGACTTGCATTTACCTGCACTTACTTTGAAAAAGGTTGTAGCAAAGCCCTCTCCTCTTGCCTTGTATCATGAAGACCAACTTGAGAAGAGCCATTGAAGCAAGAGCGTCCACTCAGTCACCAGAGAGGACAGAACTGTCCAGTAGTTGACTTTCTTGCTGGCATTTGAGGAACTTTTCCTCCCCCCCAGTAAATCCACATAAACGAGGACCAAGTTATATATATAAAAAAAAATCTTTATTTCATGTACCAGGATTTTTTTTTGTCATTTTCTCTTTTTAAAATTTTTTTTCTTTTTAACAGTCTGAAAAAAACCATGAAATAAAGGAAATGGAAGTTGGTTTCTTGTACTGGTTTGAGCTGGACATGAGCAACACCCTCAGAAGAAAGCTTCCCTGCCAGCCCTCACCTCCCATCCACGCTCTCCCGGCACTCTTCCCTTCCCGCCTGTCCCCGGGGGGCACACTCATCCCTGTGAATGCTCCCCAGCTCCATACGGCATCGGGCGGGCGAGGGGGCAGCTGGGGATGGAAACCCCAATGCCGGGGTCTGGGAAACCAGCTTTAACTTATTCCTTGAGAGGCACTGGAACAGGGGGGTTGCTGTGAATCTCTTTTAAAGGGCTGTGGGGTCACGGGAGGGGATTTCAGTGGTTGGGGGGGGGGGGGGGTCTGGACACCCAGCCAAGCCGCTCTCATCCTCCTCTTGCCCGGTGATGCTGTTTCTAGGGGTGACCCCCTCCCGATTGCTGCCCACTGCCCTGCTCTGGGGCAAGGAAGGGGGGTGAAAGCAGCGGGGAGGTGGAGGTTTCTTTGAAGCAGAAGCCCCACTGGGACCCAAAGCGGGGGACTGCACAGCTCCGCAAAACTGGAGCATCAGGAGCGAGGACGGAGAAGTCGAAAAGTGGGTCTGAGCTGCCCAAGGGCTCGGCAGCCCCCTCCCGCAAGCCTCCCCACAAGGGGCCTTGCCCTCTCCCTGGGCTGGCCAGCGGCTTGCAGGGTGTCACTGTAGCCCCATATGCTCCCCTACCTCTGCCTCCGTGGGGGAACTGGATTAAAAGCTGACCCTGGCACCCCTGGGAAGGGGCTGCCACCAGTGCAGGGGTCCTGGGGTGGGGGCCCAGCTCACCTGTTCACTGTGGATGAAGCCACATAGGGATGGGATGCCCCTGCGAGGAGGGAACGAGGACAAAACCCAGCGGGTGTGGAGATGCCCAATGGCTTCTCACTTCTCCCTGGCATGGCCACTGGGACTCGGGATGCTCAGGCCTGGAGCAGGGGCCTCCCTGGGATGTGGGCCGGGGACTACATGTGTCAAGGCTAAAAGCCGGTGGCCAGCTTTGGGTCAGGGTGGGCTGGTTGTACCCGGGTGGGGGGAGACAGGAGCTACTTCAGGGGCTGGGTAGACATTGCCACGCCCCCACATGGCTGCAGCCCCATTGGCAGGACCTAAGTGGGATCCGGGCAGATTTGGGGGCTGCCTGGGAAGCCTCTGGAGCATTCACAGGAGAGCGTGCCCGTGCCTGGGCACACATATGTAAGCACAGGGGCACTTGCGTGCACGAGTGCTGTCCCCCCCGTTGGCACGCTGCCCTCGGCTTTGGCCTCCCATATCCCCCCCTGGACCACAGCAGCAGCATCCCGAAGGGATGGGAGCCATGGTTCCCCTCCACAGCCCCCACCCTTTGCCTGCACCTCCCACCACACTCCCCATTGCTTTTTGTCTTTGTTTTTTGTTCACAGTTTAAAGCTGGAGAAAACAAAAATGAAAAGAAAAAATAATACTATCTGTTTTTCTTGCAAGTAAATCCACTTATTATATTTACATTTATTTATAGCTGTTGTTTTATTAAAAAAATTGCCACTTTTTTTTTGTTTTTTTTTTAAGAAACCTCTTTTTTTTTGTCCTTTTTTGTTTTTTTTTTTGTCTCTGTGTACGCCTGCCTCTTTATATACTGTGTCTGTTTGCTTTTTGCATTGTCACCGTTAACCCCAGGGTCCCTAGGGCCAGGGAATCAGGGATCCCCCCTGGGGACACTGTGGAGGGGTGACTCAGCATGGGCTCCTGCATTCTCTAGGGACAGGAGTTGCTCTTAACCCCTATGGACCTGTGGGGCATAAGCGGATCCCCATCTGTCTTGGGGGAATGGAGCGGATCCCCATGGGTCCTGGGGAAACAGAGTGGGTCTTGGCTGAGCCCCTGGCACCTTGGGATCCTCTGTAAGCTGCCCAAGGACACCAAAGTCGCTGCTGTCAGGACCCCCAGACCCAGTCCCCCAAGGAGCCTGTGCTGGATTAAAGGTAAGTGGGAAAGAAACTGTAAAATTAAAGAATAAAACCCCCCAAAATCCAAAGAGCTGCCTCCTCCTCCTCCTCATCCCACTGGATTTGTTGTCCTTTGTTATTTCTTGGTTCCCTTTTATATTTTTTTTAAGTCTGTTTTTATTAAATGTTAAAATAATGGTACATGGGAAATCATGCATTTTCTTTTAAATTTATTTCTATTTTTTAAATCTCTTTCTCTCAGTTTTAAATTTTTTCTTTTTTTTCTTTTTTCTTTTTTTTTTTTATGAATTTTTTTTCTCGCTGTTGTCTCTTTCCTCTCATTTCCTTGTCATTTGTTTGGTTTTTTTGTTCACTCGCTTGTTTGTTTATCTGCTTTCTCGTTGGTTGTTTATTTTTTGTCCTTTTTGTTTGTTTTGTTGTGTTTTTTTTGGTGGATTTTTTCTCTTTTTTTTCTTTTTTTTTTTTGTTTTTTGTTTTTGCGTTGGGTAGGTCCCCAACCCCCCAAGGGGCGCTTTCTCCTCCTTCTCCTTTTCCTCCTCCTCCTCCTTCCCACCCCCCTGCTACCCTTTCCCCGCTTCCACCCTTCCCACCCCGCATCCCACCCTGTCTCCTGCCCGTTCCTGCCCCATTTTCAGCTCCTGGCGACAGCTTCATACCGGGGTGGTCCGGCGGTTGGCTGTGTTGGTGTGGATAGAGTCCTTGTTCTCTTTCTGGATACAGTTGTGAACCTGGAGGAAACTGTTGTCCCTGTCGGAGTTGTAGGTGGCGGTAGGGGTGGTGGTTGCCTTCAGCGGGTCCCTGGTCAGGGTGTACATCGAGATCTCTGTTGATGGGAGGGTGTTGAACCCTTTGATCCCGACGGGAGAGGCATCCCTGGAGTGTGAAGGCTCAGTGGAGCGGGAGCTGGAGCGGCTGCGTCTCTGATAGCGGTATCGGTAGCTGGGGATGCGGGTGATGGCGGAGGACTGGAGGTAGTCCGTGGCGCGAGCGTTGGCGCGCAGCTGTTTGTGCCGGTCTATGAACATGTGGACGGCCAGCACTCCCACCATCTCGGCTATAATGAAGGACAGGGCCCCAAAGTAGAAGGACCAGCCGTAGGAGTAGCTGTTCTTCTTAGAGTCACTCTTGGAGGGGTCTCCAGCATTGGCTGATATGTATACGATGATGCCAATTATATTACTCAGACCTGCCAGCCGGACGGTGGGGAAGAGAAAGGGAGATGGCAGGAGAGTCACACATGAGGGTTGTGGGGTTGTGGACAGAAGGGCCCCCAGACTCCCATCCCCTCCCAGTGGGCCACTTCCCTTAGGAAACCAGGCAAGACCCTCCTTGCACACCTGCAGCATCACTGGACTGCACTCCTGGCTGGTTCCCGAGAGATGCCATCGGTAGGGAAAGAAACCCTCTCCCTCCAGCATCTCCCTTGCAGCAGGAAATCCCCTCCTGCCTGCAGGGTGCAGCTGCCTGCCTCTTCCAGGCAAGGAAGCAGGGTGAAAAGGCTTGTTTTCTCCCCAAATAAGGCTCATCAGAGCTAGGAACCATAAGCATTCCTGCCTGAGCAACTGAGCCCATGCAGGATGCCACAGCTGAGCAGGCTGTCCATCTCCCAGATCCCAGGAGCATCAGGCCCTGTGCATCCCTTTACCTGCAGACACGAAGAAGATGCCGGCACTAAGGATGATGTTGTGTCGGGTTTTGTAGAACTCGCTGGCTGCAATGCAGAGTCCACCCATGAAAAGCAGAATCACACTCAGGATCGGGAAAATACTAGAGGCTCTAACAGCCCCTGCAGAGGAGAGAGGGAGCAGGACAGAAAGAACAACAGAGGTGTGAGAGAGAGGAAAAAAGGGGTGAGGATATGGGGTTACGTGGGGGTACACGAGTGGGGGTAGAGGGGAGACACAGAAGGCAATGTGCAGGTGGGGGGAAGTAATACAAGGAGGGATAAATGTATTGGGGAGGGAGAGAGAAACAAAGTGTGTCAGAAAAAGAGAGCTGTCCGAAGCATCTCCCTTGCTCCCTGTCTGCTGCCACGAAGCTGGTGGCTCAGTGTGGGGAGGTGTGGGGCTGTTGGCTGAGCTGGGACCCTGCCGTGCTGCCTGTCCCCCCTTACACTGTCTTATCCTTCACTTTTGGGGGGACAACAGACTGGAGGGGGAGCCCTGGCACCATCCAGCTTCTGCTCCTGGGGGGCATTGCTGCTCCAGCCCACTCTTCAAAAAGCAGCCACACAAATGCTTCCCATAGAGCTGCTCGATCTCGAATCCTCCCAAAAGGGCCTGAGCATCTCAAGGAGAGATTTATTTATTTATATATCTTTTTAGGGTTGGGAAGGAGCTCCTGCTGCTCTGTAGCTGCAGTGAGGGCCGAGAAGCTGAAGTCCCAGCCCTCCACGCTGAAGCACAGGGCTTACCCTGGTGATCGAACAACTGGGCTCCTTCCAGAGGGCAGTGATGTGTTCGGATGTGCCAGCTCCCACACACGCACTCTCCATCGGTCGATAACGGGAATGGCTCAGCCAGCAGAGGGCAATGGCACTGATGCCCGTGTATGCTCGTACACACATGCAAAATGTACCCCAAAGCTTCTGGGGGGACTCTCTTGTAATCACGCAGCAAAAGGCCAGGTCTGTATATACATGTGCACACACGTGCAAGTGCACACATGCTGACTGTGGGCTGCTCAGTGGGTACCAACAGGCTGCCTGTGTTCACGTGGCCAATATTCATATGTTTTAATTAGGAAGGCCTTCCCTTCTCCCTTCCCAAGAGAAAGTAAGCTGGTAAAGCGTGAAATGAAGCCTTGCTTGGTAAAGAAAGGTACCAGAGTGGCTGGTGCAATTCTGCATGTGGAGCAAAGATCTGGAAGGGGGGGATGAAAGCCAATATATCCTTGCCTGCAAGAATGAACCCTACTGAAGCAAGCACAGGATTTACACCTAAGTGGGCAGAGAGCATGCTTCAAAGAGCCTGTTGGCATCAGGATCCTACCAGGCACAAGCGGTCCACTCTTTGAGGGGGGGCCCTAGCCCACTGCCTGTGCATAGGGAATGCAAACAGCAGGGAGAAACCTCTCTTGCTTGCTTTCCAGTTCTGCCTGGCTGTGTTTCAGGGACCAGGATAGTGATAATAACCTTCTTAATAGCTTCTGGAAAGCAAGGTGGAATTTGACAATGTGAAGCTTAAATGGCAGGAAGCAAAGAGCTTCCTGACAAGAGGTGTTTGATTTCAAAGAGACTAACACACCTTAAGTGGACGGTTGGCAGAAATAAAGTCTAAGCCCTTCTAGCAAGGCCATGGGCAGTGCCCCACAGTTATGTCCTAGTCCCCTAAATGAGGGAATCGCTTAGTCTGATGATAATGAATGACTTCCTAGCTGTTCTTGCCAGTACCACCAAGCATCACCCATGCAGAGAGCCCAGGGACTCTGGTTTGGCAGGAGTCCTGGGAAGAAGCTGTTCAGTGGGGTCCCTCTTCAGTCATGTCTAAGCCAGCAGAAATCCCACTTCCCTCATGAATGATCCAAGGTGTCCTTTATTGACTCACCAAATTCCTCTTTGAACCTGTTTCTTTCTTGAAAAGGGCTCTACACTGGGACGCCATCAGGTCCTGATGATGGGTCAGTTTGCGTGCTCAGATCTTGTTCCCTCTGAGGGAACAGACTCATCCTTCTTGAGATGCTTGGCCCCTTCCCCCAACTCTTCTTTCTGAAGTGCAGCTGATGCTGCAAGCAGCTTCCTCTCTCTCAAACAGCTCTGCAAGAGCAGGTTTGGCCTCAGAGGCAGCCTGCACAGCCGCTGTGCCAAACTGGATCAAACCCCTGTATTCAGCTCTGCTGTTCAGGGGCCAAGCAGCGATTAAGAGGCTGATGCTGCAGAAAGGCATCTGAAGGAAGCAATCTCCCTGGGTTATTTACAATTTACAGTGGATGAAGAACTGTTTGAGAAACCAAGAGGAAGCAGCATAAGGTCTGCCTCTTTTCACATACAAATGAGCCTCACAGAGCCTAAATTATCTCTCATCCCTGCCGCAGGGCTGGGTCTCCACATCTGGCTTGGAGAATGCCTGGCTGACAAGGAGCTATTCTGAAAGACTCCCAGCCTTTTGGAGTCCTCTGATGCTTAACCTTGGGAGGTCAAAAGCTCTCATCTCAGATTTCTGAATGGAGAAGATCTCTTCTTGTGATGTCAAAAGGCATTGGGCTTGTGGAGGGAGGGCAGGATAGCAAGGTGGGGACCTAAGAGGAGGAATGATCCCTGTTCAGCCATGCTAAAGGAAGAGCAAGCTCTTGCCTCTAGGGCAAGGTGGAAATGCTGGCTTGTGATCAGGGAGGGCAACACACGGTGTTGATCTGCCCTGCTTCACCCACATGTCCCAGACTGGGCTTCGAGCTCAGGTTAGGTTTCCTTATGGAGATGCCATGTGCCTGGTTTACAGCACCTCTCCAAGTGGCTCTGGGTGAGCACCAGCTCTTTTCTTCAAAGGGCTCTGACTCTCCTTTCTCCTGCTTCCTGTTCCCATCACTAAAAGCAGCACAGATCAGACCTGCAGCCCTTATAGGCAAGTGGTGTTTGGGGAAAGATAAAGACAGAAATAGGTGCTCCTCAGACACAGTGCAGCTAATTTCTTAAATTGATGCAAGTGCAGTATCAGGTAAGGAAATATAAACTTCCTCTGCTTCAGGAAAGACACACAGATTCTCGCATACACTCACACTGCCCCAGCTAGCACAGTCCTGACCTTACATCTGCTCAGCAGCTCTCCAATGGATTTGAATTAAGACTCTAGATTTATATCAAAGTTAATTGTCATTAATAAAAAAAGCCATCAGTTGTTACTGTGAGTTTGAAACTTGCACTGTCTTATGAGCAGGGCCCCAAGGAGGTGAGAGTGGAACTGGTTTGGGGGGGCAGTGTGGCTCTGGGGTCACCTCCTCTGGCTTGCTGAGCCTCACAGGTCCCAGCATATCCACCACTCTACCTACAGAGAACAAAAGGCACTCGACGCTAGCACCTACGAGCCATTGCAAGAAGAAGAACCTGCAGACTTACGGAGGAAATATTCTGCTGTATCGGCTTCATAATCTGCATCCTCAGGGAAGTGATCGATTTGCTTACACAGACCTTTAAAATTCCCTAGGGAACAAGAGAAAAAAACAAGAACAAATGAGAACACCAAAACCTGCCTCACAGGAACAACTGCCCTCTGCATCGCCCTTTATGCCCTCCCTGCCTTCCCTCCAGACAGCACTCCTGATTGCGTATAGATGCCCATTAAATGCCCAGGTATTCTCCTTGCATGCTCGCACATGCATCTCCCTCTTATTTGCACAGGAACATGGGATTCACTATCTGGATCCAGCCTCATGCCCACCTAGAACAGCACCCCTCACTCGGTGGTGAAGAGCAGCAGGAGCTTTGGCCAGCAGGCATGGCTCCTGCTGCAGATAGACAGGAGAGCACTGCCCACCTCCAAGGAAGGTGGTGGGGTGGGAAGAGGAGCCAGAGGCTGGATCACCCTGTGAAGCACAAGGGCCAGAGTCCCTTCCCTCAGCATTGACCAGCGTAACTGGGTGTTTGTGCTTCACCTGGTGTGGCTTCTGTGGATCCCAGCAGCAGGGATCAGGTTTGGGTGGAAAAGCGCTTGTTTCTCTCAGCTGTGAATTTGCTGCCTATTCTTTTCATGTGCAGGATACATTCTGTTGTTCTGGTGCAGTGTGAGAGGAGCAAAACCTCTTAGTCTACTTTCTCCATAAAACTGCTTGGTTTTGCATACCTTTATCGGGTCTCCTCTTGTGTCCTCTCACAGACTAAGGCTACAAGAAGCTCGGTGCATATGCGTGTACGTGGCTCAGCAGCAAAACACCCTTTGCACTGGGGGAGCAAAATCTTCTACTGTAAGTGAGGGAACCCAGGCTGGTCACCCTCAGTTTCAGCAGACTGTCTTATGTACAGGGCCTCTGCTAGCTTTAGTCATGGGGCATCCTTTTCCACACACTCTACGACCAGCAAAGCCATCTCAGCAGGAGGCAAGCAACACCTTCCTAGTCTTTTGTCATCTGAGATGTCTACCAGGTTCTTATTTTCGTCGTCCATGTCTCTCTCCTCTTGAAATCACGAACACCACTCCAGAGAGGTAACCCTCAAGCCATGTCATCATCATGACCACTGGTGGACTAGTATCTCCAAGGATCAGGTTGTTCATGCTGGTACAGGGGTGCCCACATGCAAGGCAATTTCCTTATGCCTCTGGGGTTCCCCCAAACTTCTTCCCCTTACATTTCCCTCTGGATTCTTGCACTGGCCGGCCATTAACACAAAACTGATGGGCATAATATGTTCAGAAATGTGAAAAGCAGTGTCTGCATGAGGTACCTGGATAGGCATGATGATCCCATTGGCCCCCTCACCAGAAGTCAGCCACCAAAGTGGCTCAGGCTGACTGATCCCTTAGCAGAAGGGTTTGGAGACTGAGTCTGGAGAGTAACAAATGCTGTGGCAACATGGGAAAGCCGCCTGCCACCCTGTCCCTGAGCCCAGCCACTGGACAAGCTGGTTGTGCATGGGGAGGGGACAGTGAAGCCACTGCATGTGTGGTTGCTGCCTCTGGGAAGGGTTGAACGTGATGAACCCAGAGCTCTTCTAGGACAACCCTACCCAGACTGAGACCTGCAGGCACCATATCAGGTCCCAGAGTCATGTCTTGGAAGGTTTATTCCAGATTAATTCCTATGACCTTCCAAATATTTGGTCATAGCTGGAAGAAGGACCAAGCTCAAAGGATTCCCTCTGAGATTCTTCTCGAGACTGAGCCTTGCTGGAACAAGGATTGGAACACTTTGGGAGGCAGCGATGAGCAAATAGTTGTAGAAGGCAGGTAGGGAGGTTCCTCTAGGTCAGCCCCCAAGCTTAGCTCTGTCTGCGTCCAGTCATGTTGTGTCTAATGCTTCTGAGATACCTACTGCCTTTAACTACTAGTTCAAAGAGCTTCCATGGAGAGGCTAGAGACAGTACAGAGGAGTGTGTGTGCATGTGAGAGGTAAGTAATAGGAGAAGAAAGTAGGAACAAAGCTTCTCTATGTAGTTCTGAAGTGTTATTCCCACACTGAAACTGTGGGTTATGAAAGGAGGTTATTAATCATCCATCCTCAATCCAGTTACCTCGTTCAAGAAATGTCTGCTTCTTAGCCATATGTCTTCTGAAAGGAAAGCTGCACAGCCAGACTCCTTTGCCACACTCCCACCCTGCTTCTTGCCCACTTAAAAACCTGTCAGGAAGGTAGATATAGCATGAAGGGGGTCCTTTCGCTTGCTTGCCCCTGACTGCTCAGGGCCATCTGCCTATGACAGGCAGAGCAGCTCATCACCCTGGTCCTTTGGTTGCTGTCACTGCTGTACAGTGCATGTGAGCACTGCTGCTCTCCGAGGCACTGAAGGAACCTCCAAAACCAGATTTCAGCTCCTTGCCTGGCACATCTTGAATGCTGAATGCCTCCTGCTTGTACACTGTTGGGGAGCACTTCCCAGGCAAGGCTCCCATCACACAGCTGGAGACCCCCAGCTGGAATCAGCCAGGGAGGGAAGAGGCACTGCATGTGGAAACCTCCTCTTTCTGTGCCATCCTTTCCCTGCTTCTTCTTTTCTCCTTCTCCCCCACTCTATTTCTTGCTGTATTTGAGCCTGATTAATTCCTATGCGAAGAATCAAGCTGCCTGGGAAAGACACTGCATCTTGAGCAGGGTGTCTTTTACATGGACTTGTGTGGGATAGCTGGTTAGAAGTTCAGCTACTTAGTCAGGGTGAGGGGACATGCAGGCTATTTGCTCCTGGTGCTGAGAGTCCAGAAGTCCTGGCTGACCTGGCTCAGCAGGGTGCTTGGCCATTGGGCTGTCCAGCCTTGGCTTACTTAAGATGCTGGGGGCATTGAGGAGCTGCCCTTCACTGCAGGCTGGTACGCTGTGCCAGGCTGCCTCCCCTCCCTGGCTCAACCCTGCCGGGGTTTATGCTGGCAAGGTGGGCAGCACTGGTCCCACTTCAGGCCCTGCTTTGTCTGTGCTTAGCAGACTCTGAATTCCTGTGCTATCACACCCTCTCCCCCAATGCCTCCTAGCTCCTCTGGGCAACGGATGGGGAAAGGATGCAGAATTTAGGTCATTAACACACTGACTGGGGATGTAAGAGAACAGGATTCAGTTTTTGCTCTGCCACAGGCTTGCTGTTAGAACAACTTCTTGTCTCTGCCTCAGAGTCCCACCCTGTAAAACAAGGGTGCCAGGACTCCCCTGCCTCGTGCTGCACACGAGGGCATGGTGCGGGTGCACCAGTTTGTATCGGTGAGTGACGGATGGCAGCAGTTCAGCTCGGTGCGGGGAAGGCCTCGGTGTCACTCCTTGTGCCAAGGTCACTCAGCAGCTCTCTGACAGACATCTGTGGCCTGCTGAGATGGTGCAGCAGCATCCCTGGCACCTGTGCTGAGCGGGGAGGAGGGATGGAGCCACTCAGCAGCGCTGCTGAGGTCTGACACAACAGCCTTCTGTGCTGCACGTGCGGTTTGCAGAGCCAGGGAGGGAAGAGCTGTGAGCTGCCCTATAGGCAATACTTGTGAGTGCCTCAGCAGGAGCAAATTACTATTTGGGAGGGTGTGTAGGAGCTGCTCAAGGGAGTGAGAACAACATCTCCCTTTGTACTTGTGTCTTTTTGCCCTTCCCATTCTTCCCGACTTGAGCCATTTCGTGCTGTGAACCCTGAAACAGGCAGGTGTTGAGCACTCTGGCTTCTCCTGCATGTCTCTCTGAGAAACTTAAGCCACGTGCTTCCACCTCCTTCCTGCAGCTCTCCCAGCACAGTCCAGGCTCTCCCCTCATCCTCTTTCCTTTGCTCACCCACCAGATCTTCAGTATCTCTCATTCATCACAGTCACCTCCCTCTCCCTGGCATATTGGTGTGGGCATCCTTTGAGCAGCCTGCTTTGGGATGTGCAGGCTGCAGAGGAGGTGGGGAGGAGCTCTGTGTTGTCTCAGGATAGAAAGGCTGGGGAAGCCCAGGCCCATAGAAAATCACAGAGCAGCCCCCAAGTTCCCTGGCTATTATTATCGTGAGTCCTTAGGCACAATCCCCACCGTTTGCTTGTGGCCTGCCCAAGCTTTGGAAAATACCTCCTGGAGGAGGTAGGACTGGTGCAACAGGCAACCCCCCCCCCAGTGCCTGGACTGAGACAGAAGTTGCCCAGTCAGGGCATTTAGACAGAGCAGAGACAACCTGCCACACTGCCAAAAGGGACTGAGTGCCTAAGATGCATGAAAATCAACATTAACTGTGCATTCAGCCTTCAGAGAGACCTCCAATACAGCCGGGTCATTGCTTGGGTACATGCAGTTTATCCAGGGCAGCTGGCAGCAGTTGGGTCTGCTGCAGCGAGAGTCAGACCAAGCTACCCCCGATGAGAACCCGGCCCGGTATTGCTGGTGATAGGGTTTATTTTTGTGCCGCTTTGTGCAGCCCTGCCTCTTTCAGAAGTCGTGCTTGCCTGCAGAGTGCAAACCATCACAAAATAGTAAGTTCCAAAGAATGAAAAGCTACTCCCTTCCTGCAGGGTAGGAACACTTTAAAATGGTCAGGACTGTACATCTGAAAACTGGGAGCCAGAGGCAGAGAAAAAGACGTCCAAAAGGAGAGAAGCAGACAAAGAGGGATGAGAACAGAAAGACCTGTTTTCCCAGAATGATTTGTGATATTTCCATTTATGGAAAAAAGCAATCCACTGAAAGCTTTCCTTCAGTCTCACTCTCCAATTTAACAGAGGTTTTGGCACGATGGCTTCTAGAGAAATAAATAGAGGGGGCTGGATATGGCTGTTGTCGATAAAAGCTCAGAAAGATGGCTTGGTGTTAACCAAGGATTCAGTACCTCTTTCTGCCACGCTTCCAGTATCATTTTAGGCAAGTCACTTCACTCCCCTCTTCTTTCACTCAAAATAGGAATAACGGTATTTTCCTGCCTCAGGGAAATAGCCTGAGGATATTTATAATAAGAATATGAAAGCAATCAGACACTGAATCATTTTGGGCCAGATAATTTTCCCCAGCTTCAGTTCAAACGTAATGTGCTCATCGTTGACGTGACCTTCTCCCAGATCA